TGATTTTTTTTTTACTAAAAATAATTTTTATTGGTGTAAATTTAAATTTATTATATTGTATAAATATATATTGCATAATGCATAATTGTTGCAATTATTTAAAAGATGATGAATTTTTTAAATTAAATAAGTTGAAAAAAAATTTAAAATATTTGATTTTAAAGAAACTTTACTAAAATTTTGTAAAAGTAATTAATATAAAATGTTTTATTTTTATAAATCATAAATTGTAATTTAAAATTAAATTAAATTTATAATTTATGTTAAGGTTAACTCTTAAATCCAATCAAATTGGGCCACGAACACCATACTTCAAATCGTAAATGATACTAGAAAAGAAGACAAACACGTTGATTGGGGGGTGAGGTGGTGGTGGGCCTGAAGCACCCATACCCAGCTTAAATATGCCGAGATATTCTTCGACCTTTTGGTGATGGATCATAGATGGGGTCTGCGAAAAGCCAAATTAAGTTGGCACTTGGCACGTCCAATTCAACTTAAATAGACAGGTTCTTCTAGACCTTTATAGACATAAGAAGCAACCCAAGTCGGCAAATTCCACTCACCCTCTTACACCTATCACTAGTGGAGGATGAGGTTGGGCACAGGCCATGACTTCGCCGCCCTGTCAATTCGGCCATCCTATCATTTGATTCGGCGTAAAATAATTAAATTTAAAATTTTAATTTTAACAATTTAAAATGCGCCGACAACTTCGGACGAATGCGCGGTCGCCTTGACTTTTTCCGCGCACCAAAATCAATTTTCTTATTTTTTTAAATTAATTATAAATATCCGTGATATGTAATTATTATGTAACACGTGTTAACGAGGCCACACGTGTGAATTCTCTATTATTTTCACGTTAAATGTGGTACGTATTGATTGTTTAGTGGACTAACAACGTTAGGCAACGTGTATGCTAAAATTGACCTTCTTGTGCTGGTGTTTTTAAATTTTAATAAAAAAGAAACAAAATAAAAAGTATTTAAATATAAAATGCTGTTTTCAAACTAGCATTTTTTTTTCATGTAAGCGCTTTCTCTAAATTCTTTTACCAATATGAATTGACATTAATATTAGTTAGTTTCAAGTCTTTTTCCCAAATATTTAAAGTTAAATATTTAATTAAATGATAAAATAATTGGCAATTCATTTAGAGGTGAGGATTTAGGCTCTATTATGTGATCAAATTTTAAAAATTATTCTTTTAAATTGTGTTTTCAGAGCTATTTCAAAAATTTATATTTCAAAAAAGTTGAGGAGTAAGTAAAAAAATTAAAAACTCCTCTTCTCTAATCTTTTATACAATTAAAATGATAATAGTGATTAAAGCAGTGGCGACATTCATTTATATCAAATTTGACTTAAATAGGTGTCATTAGTCGTAAGATAGAAGATGCCATGGTCTCGACTTTGGAAGTACAAAGAAAGGATGGTACTAGCCCACTATAAGCCTAAAAGTGACCTTGGGAGGAGAAGGAGCATCGGTTTGCAATGAGATGAAAACAAAGACAATTACCATGACAACCGCCGAAGACAAAGAAGATGACAAAGAAGATGTATAGTGCAATACTTTACATTTTGGTTTGTAATCTTTTAACCCTTTTTTACTTAATTCTTCACATTTTAATTTTGTCACTTCACTTTTCACATTAAATTCTTAATTTCTTCTTTTCTTCGTGCCAACTTCCAATGTTTTAATTTCTTTACATAAAATCTTGCTTCAAAACTAATATATAAAAGAACAAACTTTTAGAATTATATCCAAAATATATTCCAAAAAATAATATATTTTTTTCTTAAGAAATATACCTCAACTTATGGCCACAAAGTCATTAATTATTATTCAAGTACGTATGTGTAACCACCTTCACTAATGTATATGAGAAAATCTTTCACACAGAAAATTAATAACAATATTTAGTAATATTGTACACAATATTTATAAACTAGTGTCCTCCGAGAAAGAGAGCAACCATTTGCTACTATATTGAAAATCAAATTGAATACTAAAATTTAATATTTAGTAGAGCAAAACTTAACAAAGAAATATTGGTTTTATTTGCGTAAAATAATTTTTGGTATATTGAAGATTTCTAGCAAATAAATAATTTGGAAAATTTTAAAAATAGTTAAGTTATATATAGATATATATATATATATATATCAATTAATGTGAATAAAAAGAAGCCACATAATATTATAAAAAATGACACAGAAATATATTAATCTTTTAGCAAAACTTATTTGCATACTTCATAAATTTTATATTTTTTTTTATGAATCTTGAATTCTTATAATATTTATTCCACCCGGCTGAGTTCAATTTTATATTTTTTAACAAATTAATTTTACATTACATGATCCGGTCGACATTTTCTTCTTATAAATTTCCTTCCATGGGTTACATTCTCAATTGACTAATGCAAGTTTATCAACTAAGTAAATCTCTCGTGTTTGGCTACCAGTGATATAGTGAGAAATGATTATGACAAACGTTCAGATTATGTTTGAATTGTTTAAACAGTGAAAAATATTAAGAATTTATAAAAATTAATAAGAAATATATATATATATATATATTTTTATAGAATCTAAGTTTCGCGTTCTCAGGAGAAATAGTTGAGATTTTGTGTTAAAAAAATTTATTTTTAATGAATTTTTTGGATAAACAAAATTACTGTTGTGGATATGCTAATATAAAATAAAATAAGAGGATAATTTAATAAAATTATTCTCATTTCTCATATTTTGCATCATTGCTTATGGAAAAAGATGATGCGAAAATAAAATATTTTTTTTTTCATTAAACTTAACAAATTATATATTTTATTTTTTTATTTTTCATTCTAAAAGTAATTTAAGAGTGAAAAAGATTAAGTAATTAGTGATATTGAGATTAAATTCTAATTCTATTATAAATATCTCACTGTACATTGCATGAGTGCTCGTGTCACAAAGTCAAACACTACTGGTGGTTGATATGTCCTTAAAAATTTGTACGTTGAGATTGAGAAAAAAGGAAGATTCTTTGGCCCTAGCCCAGCTTATCACGAGTGTAGACCATTAACATCATCTTTTTAACCATTTTTGATTGGTGGGTGGTGGGCAGTGGAATCCAAGGGGTTGTTTGTTTGTGGGAAAGTTAATCTCCATTTTTGTTTAAAAAGAAAGAAAGAACGAAAAGTTGGGAATTCTAAAATCCACACATAATTCCTGAAAGATTGGGAAATATTAAGGCGCTGTTTTTGCTAAGGTTAGGATGTTGTAAGGTGGGGCATCTTTCCTAGTTGTTTATGGCGTATTAAAGCCTTCCACATGTCTCTGGTGGGTGGTGGTGCCCCTGTTTATATCCTTTTAACTCCTTTTTCAATCAATGGGTATTGAATGGCATAGAGCAATGAACTTCCAAATTTTCAGTCATCAATTGAACAAAGTAATTTTATAATTTGAACTAAACTTAAAAGGATTTGTCTGCTTCAAATTGTATTTGTTGACAAGAAATTATTGTATTCATATCTTCAAGAATTTGTTTTAATTTCTCCTTTTTAATAAATGTTAATTTACAAGGATGGATGAAAAAGAAAGAAAGGAGATATCGCAAGCAATACAAGAGCAAAAGTGGAAGAGAAATGATAACGCGCTTTCCAAACGTCATTATCTGTTCCCCACTGGCGAATCCTTAACCCAAACATAACGCTAGGACTTTTTAACTTCAGAAGTGGGATTTTTATTGGAGGTCTGGTTTCAAACCTTTACTTCACTTACGTCGCTTCATATATCGTTTATTTCAAGTCTTCTGAAATATTTTAAATAAAAAAAAACCCAAAAAATGAAAATAAAAAAACTGTCCTCATCTTTTATTAGAATTTCAAGAATGCCCCTGACTTTTTTTTTTTTTTTTTTTTTTTTCCTTTCTGTGAGTACCCCTATTAAACCATTAATTAAACAAACAAAACAAGGCACAATTGTCTAACGTTAACCAAGTATAAAACCTAAAGAACACACACACACTCACACACAAACAAAACACTAAGGAAGTCAGAGAAAGATGGAAACAGAGTGGGAAACTAATTTAAAAGAACCGTAACTATCCAGTTCGAAATATACAGGATTTAGAGGTAACAGAGGTAATTATACATCATGACGTTAACTAAACACCCTTGATTGCTTCATAAATAACAAATCATCTCTCCTTTAGCATGTAGCAGGAAGTAATTGCTTCCAAGTTAATTCTCCATATCAGGCTACACTTAGAACCAAAAATGCAGAAAATCCTCAAAGGATCACATCTATAGCTTACCCCTTCATTTTTCAGTCACAAAAATGAAAATTTCAATCAACAAAGTAGATCATGCTGGAAGATGTGTTAACACACCAGCGTGAGCCAGCGGCAATTTTTGATGTTAGCTCAACTGTTTAATCCCATCTTTGCCATTCGCAAATGAGTCCATGGCATAAACGTTCAATCCTCTCGTCCGTCCTGGTGCCCCTCCTCTGAGGGAAGAAACATCAAGAACAAACCTACTCATCCCATAGAGAAAAGAAGTTATCAGAAGTCAGAAACTTCAGAAACATTATACACTCTTTTTAAATGCCAATAACTTACAAGGGTTTTAGAAGCCTTTTCCTGTTCTGGAGCTTCACAGTTTATAAAAATTTTATCATCGAACTTCAAAACTGAATGGTCCATAGGCAGATCTTCCAATCTTGGCACTGTATCGTCATTTTCCAAATTCTGTCAGTTTTTTTTTTTTTTTTTTTTTTTTTTTTTTGAGGGTGGGGGGAGGGGTAAAGGGTGATAAATTATGAAATTTCATATTAACAGGAATTGAATAGATAAAACTACAACACAAAGTTGATGAAACTCTCACATGGTTTATGGTTAGTGCAGTTACTTCCACTAAGGCCCAAGATGTTCTGCACAAGGAGAAAATTCAATTAAGCAACAGTGAATTTCATTATTTTCCCTTGCAACTATAGATCGAAGCTCGAAATTAATAAAAAATCACCTTAAGATTCTCATAACATGTCTCAAGATCACCATTAACCAAAATATGGTCAAAAAGGCCAGACGCTTGTCCTTGCTCAAGCTCTGCCCTTGCATTTTGGAGACGCTTTTGGATCTGCTCTTCCGTCTCAGTCCCTCTGCACAAAGAAATCATGAACTTCTCAACCAGAGGGAATGCATGAGGCAGGGGTTTTTATTTTAATCTTTTTAGGTCACCTTTCACGAAGGCGCTTCTCAAGCTCCTCAAATGATGGTGGGCAGATAAAGATAAAAATGGCTTCAAGAGAGCTAGCCTTCACAGACCTTGCCCCTTGGACATCAATGTCAAGGATGCATCTCTACATTGCAAACAAATAAACAATTCAAGTTTGCTAAAATGGAAAGTATTCAATATAGCCAGAGAACTTTGTCTATTGTAGGGTGACAGGGAGCATGCGATTGTGCTCAAATTTGCTCCAGTTGACAGTAGAAAAGCTTCCAACAATGGCCCAAAAGTCAAATACCAAGGACTAGAAGCATTTTGGCCTTTACAGCTCATTAACTCTGGTTAGTAAGCACGTCCAATAACAAATTGTAATCCTAATTGGAGGTGGGTCCCGTATAGCACCTCAATTCACTATTACTTTGTCTACTTGCGGAAAAGAATCATAGTTCACCATCTGATCAAATCAAAAGACAAAGAGAAATATTGTAATTAAAATTCTATCTTTCTATTTTAGTATATTTTCACCTTTTATAAATGCCTTATACTGGCAGTATGGGAACCAAACATCCTGTAGAAAAGTCAAGACGGCACGGCGATGTCATTTTCTGGGCATTCAGAATTGGACACATCATGTTGCCAGACGCTAACAAAGACGATATATCCAATTGGCTAGGTTGAAGCTGTAATAAACTTATTTTAAAGCCCATTTTAAACATTCAGGTGTCAGTTTTTTTGAAAAAGCACCAACGTTTAGGCCACTGGAAAACTTAACAAAAGATCTTAGCATCTCTAATTATAACAAGCCAAGGGGGTGTCAATTTGGACATCTTCAAATCATGAACATCAATACCATTCAACCGATTTCATTTTATCACTTTCGCTTAGACAAATAAATAATTAGTATATAATAAATAACTCAGAGAAAAACATAGGTAAATACAATGTAGGTGTACCTTTCCAGCATCTGCAACCACCTCAACGGCTTCAATACTGGTTCCATATAGGTTTCCATGCACAGAAGCAAACTCAAGGAACTTTCCAGCTTTAATCTCTTTCTCCATAACAATTCGATCAGTGAAATGGTAATGAACCCCATCCTTTTCCTTATTTCTTGGAGCACGGGTTGTATGGCTCACAGAGAATCCAAACATTGATGGAAAATCCTTCATGAGTTTTGATACCAAGGTACCCTTACCCACTCCAGAAGGACCACTGATATTTATGGGCTTCTCAGCATGAGCTCTTACTCCCTTGCTCCAAGCAACCACCTCTGTATCAAACTTTTCTCTCTGCTGCCTAACAAATTTGGTGTCCACCTAACATTTTTGAATTGTGATGAGCAGAAGTATAAGTAGTCAAGCAAACAGAAGTTCCAAAAGCACAAATTTAAAGCTTTTATGGGTTTACATTTAAAAATGAATTAATATATATCCCAAAATTTTTCATCCATCAGAAAACCAACCTCAAGAAACCAAGCACAATCATCGGAGAGGAATCCCCCCTAACTATCAATATTCGGTCTTTGCCTAAAAGCATTGCTGAGTGACCTTTACACTGCTTTGGTTTTGTTCCCAGTACCATGGGAATAGTCCTGAAAATTTCACCATAGATCATAACTCTAGCTCTAAAACCAAATCCAATTCCAGCCTCTCCATAGCCAGAGCTAAAAACTCACGGTCCTCAGTAGATTTGTTGAAAATCTGAACTTCAATTGTTGATGTAGATTCATCATCATTCCCACCAATCACGTACTATATACAACAAAAAACACAGACAATAAATTTTGGAGGAGTAAATTTTTCTCATTTACTTTCTAACGAACACGTCTATAAACAAGGTTGCATTAGAAGATTGACAGCACACATCTTATCACCGACTGTTGTAGTTGTATTCGAGCTTTTTTTTGGTCCTAATGCAAACCCACTTTGAAATTCCCTCCGCATATCACTTACAAGGAAAGCTGGATCTTCACCCTAGTAATCAGGACCCAAGACATCAAAATTAAATCACTGAACAGCACTCCATTTTTTATCTCGTTCATCATTCTACCTCCAAGAAGTTTAAAACTAAGTTAAGTAAATTGTAATTTCATTTCCACGTGTACAACAGATGCACGGAAAGCTCACCATGGAGATATACGCTCCCTTCAATCCAAGATTAAACTGATCAAGACACATAATGAGGGAAGAAATCAGAACACAAACACGCACTTTCTGGATCTTGGGACCATATCAACTCTCAAACACAAACGATGTCAGAAGAGATCAGACACCGCGAAGGGAAAATGGGATCCCATAAAACAGACCAAAAAATGAAATTCAAAACAGAAAGCCAAACAGAAGACTAGATACCCTTAAATTCCAAGTATAATACAGCTTCAAAGAGAGAAAAAAAAAAAAAAAAGGGAAGAAGAAGAAGAAAGAAAAGAAATACAAAATCAAAACGCAGAGACGAAGAGAGGAGCCAAATTACAATGGTAGTGCCCTTCTGTTAATCTCTAGAAATTTGAAAACACATAAACAAACACAAGCATATGCATAAACGTATACGTTACGCAGGGAGAAAATATTAAACGGAGCTAAGAAACGAATGAATCGACACCTCAATCGAGCTAAGAAATTAATGGATCAAAGGACTTCTTTGCGGCCAAGAGAATCGAAACAACCAGATTTGCAGCCAATATAACAACCGCCAAGCGGCTTCAACGTAATAAAATTCAAAGAAAGAAGAACAGAGGCGACGTTACTTCGCCGCCCAGATCTTCAGTCTTTCCAAGCGGAAGAAACTCGGGATCTGAGAAAGTGGAAAGAGGGGAAGAAGTCGCTGGGGAAATTGAGAAGCATTGGCACATATTTGTAGGGAAGGAAAGAGTCTTCAGAAAGCGACAGTCTATGGAGAGAGAGGGAGAGAGAGAGGCGGGGGTGCAAGGAGGAGGGGTGTTTCGGCGGTGGCGTCCAACTTGCGTAGAAATGAGTCTCCCTCCGGATTCTACATTTTAATTTTAGTTTTAATTTTCTGATTTTTTATAAAAACCTTCGATGAGCGGAGGAAAGGGATGGATGGCAGGGGCCTGGAGCGGTGCTGGCGAAGCTTCCTTTCGGTGTTGGACCACTTCAACTTAAACCTACTTTTTGGGATTTTATCTTCCATGTGGAAAATTTGTATTTTAATAAATTTATTTCATTTTATTTGATAATAATATTTATATTCTTGAAAAAAATTTAACTGATGTATTTGTTATTTATTATTATTTTATCACTCATATTAATTATTTTTAAAAACTTCTATACAAAATTAAAAGTCTAAAATAGTAGATTTATTTTTTTAAAAATTTTTAGTTGATAATTCTAAACTAATGCTTAAATTATTGTAAATTTTCATTAATATTTCTTTCATTAGCTAAAAATAAAAATAAATTTATTTTACTCGGAATTATTTTAATTAACATATCTATTAATTTAATTTTTATTATAAATTTTATAATAAAAAGGGTATAAAAAAATAAAGCATCAAAAAAGAATAATGGCACTAATTACTCTCTCACCATGTGTGAATGTTCAATTTGACCCCTTCAATTCAAAAAACTGTTGATTGAGGTCTTGAACCAACCCAGCGTTGGCCAATGCCGTAATAATCACCAATGGATAGTCAGGGGAAGGACTGATGTAGACAATTTTTTAAATGATAAAATGCCACCAATGACTCTCAAACTGGATATATCCAAAGAATGTTTAATTAGTCCATGGTAAAATTAGACTTTCAAAAGCCAAATGGTCTTCAACGAAAAAAGAGAAAAATTAAAATAAAAAAGCACTAGTAAAAGTAAAAATGTCTCTTTAGTTTTCTTCTCACAAATGATTATTGGAGCATTACGATTGTGGGAGACGATCTTGTTGAACTTGTATTGGCTGTGAAGTAGTCGAATGAAACTTTTGCCCAAATCTTCTTTGCGAACTTAGTGAGCTTGTTCTACAGGAGGCTCTTTCATGCACGTTTCTTCCTTGGCAAGGATTATTAATGATATTATTGTTAATAAATTAGATTTTAATACAAATTTAATTTACATTTAAAAATTTAAGTTTGATTAAAATATTTGATAAAATCTGATATGATTATAAATATTCATAATTAAATATAAGTTATTCGAATATGAAATTAAGTAATCTGATCTGTTAAAATTCGAATATGAATTTTAATAATAATTTTTTAAAATTAATAATCATATATATAATATTAATAAATTTAAATTTATCAGGACTAAATTGAAAAAATTAAAAAACCAATGTAATTGATGGAATAGAACTAAAAGACTTAAGTGTAAAAAATATTATTTTTTTATTAGATCGAATTTTCTTGTTAAATTTTAAATTATTATCGTATTTGAATATGAGTTAACATATACAAATTCTATAAAATATTAGATTATATTTGAATATATAAATGGATAAATAAGAATTTGTTTAATTTGATTTAAATTTGACCTATTAATAACTTTAATTAATGGGCAGAAGTTATGTTTGAATGAAAAAGGTAAGAAAATATCAATGTTTTTGCAAAAGAATAAGATAGGGAAAATAACAGTGCCGGTGATACTTTATGTGGGTAATTTTAATCGAGTCTACGTTAATGGCAATGCAGCTAGTAGTGATGGGTTTTTTTAATGAAAGTCAAATTGAGAAGGGCAGTATGTTTGGGTTGCAATTCATAGAAGAAATAGGAGAAATTGCTTTTAGTATTTGTTATTTAATAAATGGCAATTCATCACATTTAACAAAATGTAGTCATTGACGGGGCTCTGGTTGAAGGGTTGAATCATTTTTTTTTTTATTTGAAGAGCTAGATTAAACATTTCAAAATCCTACTTAAGAGGTGGTTGTAAACATTTATGTAAAATTAGAAGTTGAAACTTAAATTAGAAATTGATATAAGTTGATTATAATTATAAATTAAATGTATTTGTTAAACATATTAATAAGTTTTTCAAAGATATTAAAATGAGTATTTTGAACACAACTTGAGTAGTTTACTCTTATAAAAATTTTTGTTTGAGAAAAACTAAAATACTCTTAGTTTGTAGCTGTTGTCTCCTCCACCAAAATCTTTTGGAGGTGCATAGATTTCATATTGCCACTATAGTGGTTGTTAGGCCACTAGACCACACTACAAGAAAAAGGTGAAATACCAACGCAATTTACCGGCGCAAGTCATTTTCGTTGGAATACAAATAATATTTCCAACGCATTTACTGCATCGGTAATTCACTGACGCATATCGATGCAAAATGTCATCGAAAATATTACTAATGAAAAAAATTCGTCGGTAAAAATTAATTGTATATTACCGACGCAAAACATGCATCAATAATTAATAAAAAAAAAAAAAAAAAAAATTATCAACGCAAAGTCATGCGTCGGTAATAAATAAAAAAAAGAAACAAATATTACTGACGCAAATTTGCGTCGGTAATAAATAAGAAAAGGAAAAAAATGTTACCGACGCAAAGCCATGCGTCGGTAATAAATAAAAAAAAGAAAATAAATATTATCGATGCAAAGCATGCGTCGGTACTAATAAAAAAAACAAAAGAATATTACCAATGCATGCCTGCATCGGTAATAAATTAAAAAAAGAAAAAAATATTTCCAACGCATGCCCTACGTGGGTAACAAAAAAAAGAAAAAAAATATTACTGACTCAAATTTGCGTCAGTAATTTGAATTGTTCATCGGTAATGGGTGGTAACACGAATTTCGAGGCACGTTGTACGAGGAATTACCGATGCAGTGCGTCGGTAATTCCCTTATATATGCTCCTCAACTCGACCCCCTCGGCCATTGTCTCCATCTCTCTTTTCTCTCTGTGTTTTGCCCCGCCGCCGCCTCCCTGCTGCACGCTGCCGTCACACTGCACCGCACTGGAACGATCAATCTGTCCCATTTGTTTAATTTTACATAATGAATGCAATAGTTGCGTACATGTTTATATATACATGCGTGATTGCGTATATATTATATTTTTTATGTTTTTATGTTTTTTTTAACATTTTATTATTATTTTTTTATTATTTATTGAACGGGCCAAGGTAAGCCCTGCCCCGCTAGGGCGGCCAGGCCTTGCAACCCTGCAAGGCACTGGGTCGGCCCAGCCTTGCAGCCCAGCTGGGTCTGGGCCGGCTCGGCTGGGCTGCTCGCCCAACAGACTAGGTTGTTGGGCCGGCCTGGCCCATTAATTATTTAAAATATTAATTAATTTAAATATTTAAAATATTTAAAATATCATTTAAAATATTCAATAAATAGTATTAATTTAAAATATTATAAGAAACAATAAAATATTAATGTAAAATATTATTAATAAAATCCAATAAATAATATAAATTTAAAATATTGTTAATAAAGCCCTATAAACTATTATTAATAAAATAAAATTTAACAAAATCCAATATAATTGTATTAATTTAAACTATTATATAAAAAAATATTAATGTAAAATATTATTAACAAAATCTAATAAATAGTATTAATTTAAACAATTTTTTAATAAAATAAAAGATTGATTTATAATATTGTTAACAAAGCCCAATAAACTTTATTAAATTAATAAAATTTTACAAA